GGGACTCCAGGATCATGACCTGAGCCGAAGGCAGTCGCTTAACCAACTGAGCCACCCAGGCGCCCAGAACGTCAGTTTTAAAAGCTTCCCGAGGGGCGCCTGGGTGGCTCAGTAGGTTAAGTGCCTGTCTTCAGCTCAGGTCATGATCCCAGGGTCCTGGAATAGAGCCCCGCATCGGGCTCCCTGCTCTGCGGGGAGCCTGCTTCTCCCCCTGGCTGCCTCCCTCCCTGCTTGTGCTCTCTCTCTCTGACAAATAAAATCTTTAAATAAATAAAAGCTTCACAAGTCCCTCTAATGTGCTATCAGTTGGGAAACCACTGGGAAATTTAGGAGATGAGGTAAAAAGTACACCTATTTCAAGACAATAACTAGTAATTGTAGCTATTGTTTCCTTAAGGAGAGAGAAATCTGGTGATAGCAAAAACATTCACTTCTAGGGTATGTTCCTAGGGGAAGGAGTGAGCTTGGGGCGTAACCATCTGCTTTTCCCAGGGTTGCAGAGGGTGACGAAAGCTACATAGAGCAAAAAGGAGGGAGAGGGTAGCCCCTCAGCTGACCTGCCTCTTACTAGATTGTTGTCAGAGTTGGTTGTTACCTTGTTTTTTTTTTTTAACAGAAAAACAAAAATTGATTTACTTTTAAATTCCACACCAAAACATTTTACTGAAAATGAAGTGATTTTTAATCTATAAATAAAAGATTCTCTAAATGATACTCAGGATGTTTTACAAGTTTGGTTTTAAGATAGATTTGAATTCACAACAGGTCTTACACACAACGATTTCAATTAATTGGGCACTCCGGAACACAATGTAGAGGCATAACAAGTGTGTGACGACTTCTTAATAGTCCCAGGGGATAAAGACCTTTTTCAAATATGGAAAGAAATTAGTCTTTCTACAGTATTAACCCCTAAAAGCCATTCTCCTTTATAGACAACGATATTATTGTCAGTTTCATACACTTTTACTTTATAAAGAACTCCCAGAGGAAGAAATTTCTGGAGGTTTTCCCAGATATATACAGCTACATTTTCTGTCGTGCTTATAACATCTACAAAGTATGGCACATGCAGATCCAAATTCTTATGATCAAGGGGCTTCATAATTGCCTTCTCCATATACTCTTTGAGGTCAAATTCATAACAATTCCTGTAACAGGATCAATCTCTCCATGCACCGTCACCACAACTTTATAATTGTTTCCATGGCCATTTAGATTGTTGCATTTCCCAAACAGTTTCAAGTTTTCTTCATTACTCAAGAGATTTGCTGTGGAGTTGGTGGGTCGCGCTGAAGGAGACGAGGGGGGACACCTGCGCCCGGCGGCAGCAGCCCTCGCCGGCTCCCGCAGCCCTCGCCGGCTCCCGCCGCGCTCATTACCTCGTCTCCTCTACCTTGTTTTGTTTTTCACATGTGACAGACTATTTCAGACATGTTGAATCTTAATAGTTTGGTGGATTTCAAAAGCCTTTTTTTTTTTTTTTTTAAGATTTTATGTATTTATTTGACAGAGCACAAGCAGGCAGAGCTGCAGGCAGAGGGAGAAGCAGGCTTCCGGCTGAGCAGGGAGCCCCATGCAGGACTCGATCCCAGGACCCTCGGATCATGACCTGAGCCGAAGGCAGACACTTAACTGACTGAGCCACCCAGGCACCTCTAAAAGCCTTGTTTTATGAGATTAATACTGTATGAGAATCTTTAACCATGGCTTTGGGGAGAATAACCCTCTTGTATTTTGGGTTGATTTGATTGAGGGAAATCAGGTAAAATTTCTATTTATTTATTTGACAGAACACAAGCAGGGGAGTGGGAGAGGGAGAAGTAGGCTCCCCACCAAGCAGGGAGCCTTATGTGGAGCTCCATCCCAGGACCCAGAATCATGACCAAAGCTGAAGGCAGATGCTTAACTGACCGAGCCAACTAGGCGCCCTTAAAAAAATTTTTTTTTAAGATTTTATCCATTTATTTTAGAAAGAGAACAGGGGGGAGGGGTAGAGTAAGAGGGAGAAAGAGTCCCAATGAGACTCTGTGCTGACTGTGGAGCCTGACCTGGGGCTCAGTCCCACGACCCCAGGATCATGACCTGAGCCAAAACCAAGAGTTGGCCACTTAACTGACTGCGCCACCCAGGCACCCTGGAAATCAAGTAAATTTTAATGGGTCTGTAATGTTTTGGTTGCTTACAAAGATTGCTGCCATTGCAGAATTTCCAGGTGCATCTCAGATAGATATGGGGTGGGGATAGAGGAAATTGCTATTTAGTTTTTCTTTTTGAAAGACTTGAGTATGCCCCATACCAGCTGGTCTGGAATCTTTAGGACACTTAGGGCCATCAGGCTTGTGCAGTCTTGTTTAGCACATTCTAGACGTAGGAACATATTTTTCTGCTTGGGAGCAACATGGATGTTGAATCCCTATCACCACACTCTTGAATCACTTGGGTTTGCTTAATTTGGGGACCTGAATCTAAAGTAAGAGCTCTTGGGCGCCTGGGTGGCTCAGATGGTTAGGCGTCTGCCTTTAGCTCGGGTCGTGATCCCAGGGTCCTGGGATCGAGTCCCTCATCGGGCTCCCTCCTCCTTGGGAGCCTGCTTCTCCCTCTGCCTCTCTCTCTCTCTCTCTCTCTGTCTCTCATGAATAAATAAATAAAATCTTAAAAAAAAAAATAAAGTAAGAGCTTTTAGCACAACTGAAAGGGCTCTGTTATGCTGGTATTAGCAAATCCCAAGGAGAAAGATAAGAAAATATATTTAGAGCCAGAAAAGAACCTTAGGAATTGGTGAGTTCTCATTTTACAGATTTAAAAACAAAACAAAAACTCCAACAACAAACCAAGGCCACAGAAATTAAATGCTGGTCCAGAATTTCCACAGATAGATAGTGAAGAACTGGGGTCTCAAATTCCTGAACAGTGTGGAAGTTAATGTAGAAAAGACAAAGAAAGGAGAAGAGTTCATCTGATGGGGCCTAGAAAACCAGCATCCCTTCCCATATGACTTCTCAGTAGTACCAGTACTGTAAAGATGCACCATCAGGTAATCTCCATTTTTTTGTTTTAAGACTCATGACTTTTATTTTATTTTATTATTTTTAAATTTAAATTCAATTGATATATAATGTATTATTGGTTTCAGAGGTACAGGTCTGTGATTCATCAGTCTTATACAATACCCACTGCTCATTTCATCACATGCCTTCCTTAATGTCCATCACCCAGTTACCCCATCCCTCCACCCCTCCCCTCCAGCAGCCCTCAGTTTATTTCCTATGATTAAGAGTCTCTCTCTTATGGTTTGGATCCCTCTCTGATTTCCTCTTGTCTTAGTTTTTCTTCTCTTCCCCTATGAGCTTCTGTTTGTTTCTTAAATTCCACATATGAGTGAGATCATATGATAACTGTCTTACTCCGATTGACTTATTTCACTCACCATAATACCCTCTAGCTTCAACCACATCATTGCAAATGGCAAGATTTCATTTTTTTTGATTCAACAATATTCCTTTGTGTGTGTATATATATATGTAGCACATCTTCTTTATCCATTCGTCTGTTGATGGACATCTGGGCTCTTTCCACAGTTTGGCTTTGTGGGCATTGCTGCTATAAACATTGGAGTGCAGGTGCCCCTTCAGAACACTACATTTTTATCTTTGGGGTAAATACCCAGTAGGGCAATTGCTGGGTTGTAGGGTAGCTCTATTTTCAACTTTTTTGTGGAACCTCCTATTGTTTTCTGAGTGGCTGCCCCAGTTTGCATTCCCACCAACAGTGTAAGAAGGTTCCCCTTTCTCGGCATCCTCACCAACATTTGTTTCCAACATTTTAGCCATTCTGACTGGTGTGAGGTGCTATCTCATTGAGGTTTTGATTTGGATTTCCCCGATGCTGAGTGATGTTAAGCACTTTTTCATGTGTCTGTTGGCCATTTGGATGTCTTCTTTGGAAAAATGTCTGTTCATGTCATCTGCCCATTTCTTGACTGAATTATTTGTTCTTTGGGTGTTGAGTTTGATAAGTTCTTTAGATTTTGGATACTAGCCCTTTATCTGATATGTCATTTGCAAATATCTTCTCCCATTCTGTCGGTTTCCTTTTGGTTTTATTGACTGTTTCCTTTGCTGTGCAGAAGCTTTTTATCTTGATGAAGTAAGTCCCAATAGTTCATTTTTGCCTTTGTTTCCCTTGCCTTTGGAGATGTCTCTAGCAAGAAGTTGCTGCAGCCAAGGTGTTCTCTAGGATTTTTGTTCTCTAGGATTGCTGCCGCCTGTGTTCTCTAGGATTTTGATGGATTCCTATCTCACATTTAAGTCTTTCATCCATTTTGAGTCTATCTTTGTGTATGGTGTAAGAAAATGGTCATATGTTCTTCTGCATGTGGCTGTCCAATTTTCCCAACACCATTTGTTGAAGAGACTGCCTTTTTTCCATTGGACATTCTTTCCTGCCTTGTCAAAGATTAGTTGACCATAGAGTTGAGGGTCCATTTCTGGGTTCTCTATTCTGTTCCATTGATCTATGTGTCTGTTTTTGTGCCAGTACCATACTGTCTTGATGATTAGAGCTTTGTAATAGAGCTTGAAGTAAGGCATTGTGATGCCACCAGCTTTGGTTTTCTTTTTCAACAATCCTTTGGCTATTCGGGGTCTTTTCTGGTTCCATACAAATTGTAGGATTATTTGTTCCAGTTCTGTGAAAAAAGTGGATGGTATTTTGATAGGGATTGCATTGAATGTGTAGATTGCTTTAGGTAGCATAGACATTTTAACAATAATTTCTCTTCCAATCTGTTAGCATGGAATGTTTTTCCATTTCTTCGTGTCTTCCTCAATTTCTTTCATAAGTGTTCTATAGTTTTCTGAGTACAGATTCTTTGCCTCTTTGGTTAGGTTTATCCCTAGGTATCTTATGGTTTTGGGTGCAATTGTAAATGGGACCGACTCCTTAATTTTCTCTTTCTTCTGTGTAATTGCTAGTGTATAGAATTGCAACTGACTTCTGTGCATTGATTTTATATCCTGCCACTTTGCTGAATTCCAGTATGAGTTCTAACAATTTTGGGGTGGAGTCTTTTGTGTTTTCCACATAGAGTATCATATCATCTGTGGAGAGTGAGAGTTTGACTCCTTCTTTACCAATTCAGATGCCCTTTATTTCTTTTTGTTCTGTGACTGCTGAGACTAGGACTTCTAGTACTATGTTGAACAGCAGTGGTGATAGTGGAACATCCCTGTTGTGTTCCTGACCTTAGGGGAAAAGCTCGCAGTTTTTCCTCATTGAGAGTGATATTTGCTCTAGGCTTTTTGTAGATGCCTTTTATGATATTGAGTTATGTTCCCTCTATCCCTACACTGTGCAGAGTTTTTTTTTTTTTTAAAGATTTTATTTATTTGTTTCAGAGAGAGAGAGAATGAGAGATAGGAAGCACGAGAAGGAAGAGGGTCAGAGGGAGAAGCAGACTCCCTGCTGAGCAGGAAGCCCGATGTGGAACTCGATCCCGGGACTCCAGGATCACGACCTGAGCCGAAGGCAGTCGCCTAACCAACTGAGCCACCCAGGCGCCCTATGCAGAGTTTTAATAAAGAAAGGATGCTGTACTTTGTCAAATGCTTTTTCTGCATCTTTTGAGAGGATCATATGGTTCTAGTCCTTTCTTTTATTAATGTAGTGTATTGCATTGACTGGTTTGTGGGTGTTGAACCATCCTTGCAGCCCAGGAATAAATCCCACCTGGTCGTGGTGAATAGTCCTTTTAATCTACTGTTGGATTCTGTCGGCAAGTATCTTGGTGAGAATTTTTGCATCCATGTTCATCAGGGATATTGGTCTGTATTTCTCCTTTTTGGTGGGGTAGGTCATTGGTTTTGGGATCAAGGTTATACTGGCCTCATAGAAATTGTTGGGAAGTTTTCCTTCCATTTCTATTTTTTGAAACTGCTTCCGAAGAATAGGTATTAATTCTTCTTTAAATGTATGGTAGAATTCCCCTGGGAAACCATCCGGCCCTGGGCTCTTGTTTGTTGGGAGATTTTTGATTACTGCTTCAATTTCCTTGCTGGTTATGGATCTGTTCAGGTTTTCTATGTCTTCCTGTTTCAGTTTTGGTAGTTTGTATGTCTCTAGGAATGCATCCATTTCTTCCAGATTGCCTAATTTGTTGGCATATAGTTACTCATTGTATGTTCTTATAATTGTATTTCTTCAGTGTTGGTTGTGATCTCTCCTCTTTCATTCATGATTTTATTTATTTGGGTCCTTTGTCTTTTATTTTTGATAAGTCTAGCCAAGTTTTTATCAATCTTATTAATTCTTTCAAAGAACCAAATCCTAGTTTTGTTGATCTGTTTTACTGTTGTTTTGGTTTCCTTTTTTTT